TCCAACCCTAACTGTTCTATGATTCTATATTCTTATAAGTCTTGTGATTTTGGGGTCCTTGGACAGGCAGAGTTGAAAACATACGGGCTGTGGAAGAGCAGTATCCCCTCCTGTGATGGGCTCTGGCTTTGCATCACCTCTGTAGCTGTATATTCTTTTGGTCACAGACATGAAATGCAGAATTAAATTAGTTATTCTTTGGCATTCCTTTTCCCCTGAAATTCAGCAGGATTTTGGAATCCCTCCACGTAACACTCTTCTCTCTTTGCATGAAACACTCCTAATTGCTGATTACACTTTTTGAATATAACCTTCACTTAAGATCCATTCAAAGAAGACAAATGGATGCTGCTGCTGGACAGAGACGGGCTTTTCTGTATCAGTGTTCAGACTGAGATCATCCCAACTCAGCATGAAAATGCTTTAAGGTGGCCACTTACTCATCCTACCAGAAGAATTTGATGCAATGGCTATTTGATTATTATTTATATTCCATTAAAAAATTTAGTTGTAAGATCTAAGGCTGCAAGGTCAAACTTTCAAAAGAGAGGAGATACCTAGGCTAAGGCAGGATACCCCTTCTGGCCTTACATGCCTATGTACTATGACAGATTTTAATCAGAGGATCATATACAGTTTTTGCAAGGGATCCCCTTATCATTAATGCAGTGCACAGGGTTAGACATTACATAAAATTTCCTGAAGAACTCTAATCCATAAAAGTCTAGCACAGAAAACTTACTTAGCATTGATATTTGGCAATTAGAGAACTGAGTACAGAGCCAGTGGACTAGAAAACATCAGGCAGTGATGCTTTCTGCAGTGCTTTTAACTTTGTCTGGAAATTTCTGACTGTAATTACTGTTGAGTGTAAGTACTTTTTTGTGCTGTGTTGGCAGAAATATGTAAAGATGGCTTACAACACAGATTAGTTACAAACACAACAGGTCATGTAATTAGCCTCAGTGGCATAATAAAATGTAGCTGCATAGCAGCTATCACCCCTTTCATGCTGCCTGGCTCTGGATTGAAGTAAATTGTAGGGAGAATACGGGAATGCTCATGAACAGCACATGAATTCTCTCCCCACTGCTTGCGTCACATGTAAAGACCACTCTCAGCCACCAGGGACAGAGCACCAGCATGGCTGAGGGTGAGACACAGGTGCTTAAGAGCATTTATGTTCCTGCCTGCTTGAGTGGACAGTCCAGCCCTTTAAAGACCCTGTTTAACCCATCCCAAGATTCCACACCGTTTGAGAACATCTCTGTTTTAATGACAAAGTGAGTAATGGTATCCAGTGCTTTGTTGGGAAAGCCTTCATGAATCCACAGTATCATTGCGGAGCAGCACACAGAGAGAAAACAGGAACATCCTCCCACCCCCACTAACACCATGGGCTCTGCTGCCAGAAGAAAAACATTTCCAATTCAATTGTTTTCCTTATGGCAAAGCTGAGATTCCCATTCAGGACATTTAAAAGCCATAAATCAAAGCATCCACAGTAGAACTAAAATTGGTCAAGATCACAGAATCGTTTAGGTGGGAAAAGACCTTTAAGATCATAAAGTCCAACTGTTAACCTAGCACTGCCAAATCCACCACAATATAAGCCTATATATTAACTGCAAAAGTTATTTAAGAAAACAAAAGCTGTAAATTAAGATAACATACAATTAAACCTAGCAGAACTAGCAATGTAGAGATAATGTGTCTTATGAAAGTCTTAACACTTAATTATGGAAATTGAAATAAGAAGCATGAAAATTACAACTGAACAGTATTCCCCTCTGATACATTCACAGAACTGAGTATTAAAAAGGATCTTATGAATCCAGCGAAATGATATATAGGTCAACTTCAAACAAACAAACAAGCAAAAAATCGAAAACCAAACAGAAAGAACAGACGGCCAAATCTCAATTTAAATATACATTCAGGCATTTGCATCAGCAAAGATCAGGCTTTCCAAACAGGCAGGCAAACATACATCATGGTAAGCTAAAGTGGCTCTAGTGCCTGCTTAAAGCCATCTTACTGAAGTGAGTGCACAGCTGCATTTTCTTTCAAAATACTACTGCAGCCTTTTAAGAGAGAGGGGGAACAATCTAAATTCTGGCAGCAGGGAATATTTCACAAATCATATATGCTTTGGCATCAAGCCCTTAAAGCCAGGGGCCTTTACTCACAGGCTTTGCTGGGAGAGATCCACCCACCTCAAGTGGGATTAATTAAAAGAGGCATGTATGATGCAAATAGTTTCTGTTTCCTTACAGAAATATTCAGAGCACATAACCCAAAACAGCTTTAGAATCATAGAGAAGCAAGGAAGAAAATTATTTCCTGCTCCCCTAACCATTTTCCTTTCCTTGTACAGTAAGAAAGAAACAATGAGAAAATGCCAAGAGCTCACCAATCCTCTACAATTCTTTTGATTAAATGCTAATGGAATTGAGGAACAAAAAGGATGTGTTTAAAGGCAGGGCTGTATCACACTGTAGGGTGCCCAATTCTCTGAATCAGATGTGTTCTCAGCCACTCGCTGGAAAAGGACAGTCCAAGTCTTACCCCTGAAAATTATCTTTTTATCTTAAGGCAGAACAGGAAAAAATAGAAAGCTCGTATTTCTTCAGCATGTCAGGATTTTCAGCTCCATGTGACAGTGACGGGGGCTGCAATAAAAAGCTCCTTTGGAAAGCTAGATGAACTTTAAAAATACAACTGTCTTCTCAGGAAGCTAAACTATTTCCCTAGATACAAGAGATCCTGACACTTCAAGGAATCACTGCAGAAAATGGTGGTACTGCAGTCAGAACATAGAGCCCCAGTTCAAAAAAAAGTCACAGAGAAAGCTCAAGTTTCCACCAGAACTCTTCTTCAAAACTATTTTTTTCCCCCTTTTAATATCTCAGACCCATTTTCTGACTCAATTTCCTATGATCCTGCAAAGGCTGTTATTAAAACCAGACCAAGCGTAGCAGAAATTCCAGGGCTCAAAAGAAACATTTAATAGGCACAGGAGCAGACCACACTGTCCCCCTCAGGTGATTTCCCCTGCAGCCCCTTCCCTGGGATTTCCTCTCTTGGACTTTAGTCAGCAGGAGAAACCTGAAGTTTCAGCAAAACAGCAAACGCTTCCTTTATTCTTAAGCAGCTGAGATTTTTTTATGTCTGAAGATTTCATAGCTCTAAAAAAGAGAACTAGGATCCAGTCTAGAATACATGTATTGCAGATAATTTTTCCACAAAAAAGTCAAGCAGTCGTACATTCAATTATATATCCAGCTACAGCATTTTAAAAACACTGACCTCCTTTATCAGCCATTGCTTTGCATGCCACCAGTGGCAGTCCCGAACTGAGTTGTTTGTGGGCTGCTTACCCAAGTGTCTTTTGTGTGCTGGAAGATTCCTTTCTGGTCTCCATCCCACCTATCACTTTCGCTTCAAAAGATTATCCCCAGACATGCTCTTGGCAAACCAACTCAGGAAAACATTGTTCATGCAAAATTACAGCCAGGCAGGACAAAGGAGACATGCTCATTTGCAAGGCAGGTGAGACAGACCAAGTGAGCTATGGTTCTCTCCAGTAGTACAACTGACAAAACACTGGACCTTATTTCTGTATCTAGTCTGTGATTTATCCTCTGACGGCACAGGGGAAACACCGATGCTGGTGCCCTTCAGCTCAGTCTGAGACTCTCCCAACAAGGGATGCTGCTTGGATTTCTTCCCTTTCAGTGCAAAGTTTAGTACCCAGAAAGGCAATTCTAGGTTGCTCCCCAGCAGTCCCACTGCAAGCTATTGGATATCCACTAAGATCAAGGAGTGTGTTTTGTGCAACAATGGCCTTTTCATAGCAATTATATAAAAATACTTCATGCATTTGGTGTACCTCATTTATTTATTGTTCATCTTATAAAGAGAAATTACATTAAAACTACCAAGCCTCAAATTTAAGTTACTGATAACTACAACAGATCTCACCTATTTAAAAGAAAGTTTTTCTCCAAGGGTTCTCATTTACCATTTCTAAAATGGAAAATGTGCACATTTTGTTTCTATTTAACTGGCTTTTTTTTTCTTTTTTTAACTGTGACTAATTTTAATGTAACAGTTGATTTATTAAAAATGGAGGAAATACTTTGTTCCAACATTGCCTATTCTGTCCATGCCTCTCATAATTTACGAAGTTACTGAAGCCCTCAGAAACAGGCTTTCACATATCTATGTGTGTGTATATATATATATGTATGTGTGCATATATATGTGTATTATGTCATTGTGAAGATAAATATTAAGCACATTTTATTTATAAATAGCAGTTAGTGCCACACAAAATTATAAAATATGCAAAGCTACTTTTAAAAGTACTGATAAACGCAAAGCCCTGGGAAGAAAAGGAAGTGATGTGGTTGTAACTATTCCTTAACTATTTGGTTAGTACCGTATGATCTACATTGTTAGACAACTATGGACTGCTTTCAACTGGCTGTAAATTACTTGCCTGGTGGAATAAGAATCAGATCCCTATCAGTTTGTTCCACAGTCCTACAAGGACTGTTCTTGTTCTCTCCCAGAAAAGCCATTACCTCCTCTGGTGAAGACTCAGAATGGTAGACATGAGTTGTTGTAGCCCTGCCACTCTTCTGAAGGAATGGTAGATGGCCTCTCTCTGTGTGAACCCCTATGTGGGTACAACACACCAGAACAGGGGTTCTTAATAACAAAATCTAGCGTCTTCAAACTGACTGACAGGAATGTCTTTTTTTTTCCTCCTTCATGAAAAAACTTAATCTCTTTTTAAAAAAAAAGTCATGTTTGTGCTAGAAATTGTTTCCTCAAAATGCCTTTGTCTCTTTGCAGTGAATACCCAATTTTGCTTTGTTATAAGACTTCTTCAACAAACAGTGCTCACTTTCCAACACTGTGCAGAAAGTGTCTGTTATGCTAGAGTGAGAGAACCATGCCCACCAGCAGGAAGATTAGACATCTTACCTTGGGACGCTGGGAGGAGCCCGGGTTGGCCGAGAGGGAACCTGGGGAGGTCCTCCATGAGCTTCACCACCACTTGGAAACTGGGGCAATGGTCCTGGTCGGAACGGGACTGGGGGAGCCCCTGATTGAGGGCCTGGAGATGGGATTGCAGGAGCAGGTCCTCGGCCAGATAAAGGTCTGGTTGGGGGGTTGTTTAATGTAGGCCTCCTCTGAATTGAGGGACTTGGAGGAGGTGATCTAGTAAAATATCAGAAATTTAAGAAGTTCAGTAAGGTAATGGAGTTTTTTGTTTGTTTGTGAGTTATTTTTTTTAAACACAAAGCCTTTTTTATGCCTATGAGAATTCTTTATCTTGGCATTTTCCTTTGTGTCAGTGACAGAGCATCACATATGTTTGTCTCACACCTTTCCCACAAACAGCATGCTTTACAATAGTCAGAAATAAACATATAAGCAAAGAAGCAAACATAATGGATTTTAATATTAGAGTTCCTATCATGGTAAGTGGATTTTCTAGGACGTGGAGCCTGAGATGCTAAATTATTATAACAGCTTGCAAGAAGAGGCTCTGTGGATGCATAGTAGGGGTGACAGAAGCGGCTGCTATCTGAAGCATCAGACAAGCTATAAATCCACTGGGTGGTCTTCCACAAGGCAAATTGTCTGTCTGTGTTCACATACATATCCATAGGATACATATATGTGGGAAAATTACTTATTTTCCTTCATAAATGTGATTACAGACTACAGAAGTATCTGCCCAGAAATACAGGCAGGAGGGGAGCTACCGATGCTGGCGATGTCTGCCTGTTCTAGATTTCATTGCAATACAGATTTGAGGATCCTTACCTGCGGGCCTGCTGAAGCCAAGAGTCATCTACAGGAGGGGGTGCAGGGGTTGAGACAGTGCTAGTGCTAATATCACCAATGATTGCTAAGGCTTCCTTTAGTGCTTGGTACATGCGGAGCATTTCATCTCGCCTCTGCACCTGTTCAGCCGACTCCTCCATTAGAGTGTTTTGGTCCTCAGAAGAGTACAAGTGAGCCAGGAGCTCTGCGTTGATAAATTCTTTTACCTATTTCATCAGACAAAAAAACCCCACCAAACAAATAAACAAAAAAAAAAAAACCAAAAAAACAAACAAAAAACCCCACACAAAACCAAAAAAAGAAACCACAACACACACACAAAAAAAGCAAAACAAAACAAAAAAAAAAAGCCAAACCCTATTGAAAATAGAATACTGAACAAATACAGAGTGAGATCCATGAAACCAAGAGACATACCTCCATTTAATCAGTTTCTGCTACTACCTTACAACAATTCTACTGGTCATGCAGTTTTTGTTAGGTTAGATCAGGGACTAAAATATGCTGAACTTAGATTGCGTTTATGGTGGGGCAGCCTGAGGTCTAGCTGTGGCCCAGGGAAAGGCCGGCATGTGCAGCTGGCAGAGCAGCTGGAAAAGGATGGACTGGACCTTCTAGCAGCTGCCTGCACACAGATGGGCTTAATGCAGTAAGGAAGCTGTATTCTGAGAAGACAACTCACATGTGAGGATAAGATGGTTTTGTGCAGTCACTTCACAAGGCACCGTGGCCTTTTTTTTTTGGCAACTATCTTTGAAACAGTGGACATGGTTGGAGTTAACACTGGTCTGTCTCTCAGTGGCGACACTTGTGTTTACAGTTCATTTCAAGCAGGCTTCCCAACAGCGCATACGAATCAGCTGGCGTTTTGGTCCGATTTTAAATGACTGAGAGGTAAATAGCAGCCATTAGCAATATCATCAGATACTAAATTCCCCTGGAATGGGAATTTTCAGGCTTTAGAGCGTCCCTGACAATTATTCTCTTAGCAACAATTTACCCTACTGTAGAGGGTGTCTTTCATCTACAACAACTTTGTCAGATTATAAATATCCCATCCACATGCATTCAAACTGAAGGGAGAAGTCTTCAAGTAATCTAATTTACTAAGTTGATTTCCTGCTATGCCTCTCCTGGTTATGGAAACCTGGGCCACATTAAGAGAGAGAAAAATCTAGAGGTACTCTGATTGAGTAAGACTGTGGTAAATATACCAACTTTCTGGCCTACTAAATGCTTGCATTTGAGACTTTGATTGCTGTTCTGATCTATTTCTCATCTGGCTTTTTGCTCTATAAAGCTTCTTCGAGCTTTATAATACATCCCCAAGATTCTGATTATATAAACCTGAGCTCTGTTTGCCCATGGGTTTGTGCTAGTTCAGCAATACAGATTTAAATCCTGACAGTTAGACTAAGGCAATGTTTGTGTTCAGACAAGGTCAGTAAGAGCAGTCAAAGTGTATGGGCATGGGACCCTTTATGGTCACCTAGAATGAAAAGGCCAGGACACTATTTACAGGGAACTAAAACCATTTTGCTTGGGCTTGGCTGTCATTTCCCATTCATGTATGACAGGAGATGCACAAATTCTTAGCAAAGCCTGCAAAAATTTTCCATGAGTCTCATGCTCTTTTCCAGTAGATGGTACTGATCAAGAGCCAGAGTATACTACTTTCCTCGTGATTGCCAAAAACTCCACATTAAAAACAGATATTATAGTTAAAGAGCATCACATTCTACTTGATGAAATGAGCATTTTAATGGCATCACTTCAAAAAAAGAAGTCCTAAAATTAGATTAAGGCCAGAGCTGATTGTAAAAGCATTGTTAAACCACAAATATTTGTTTGAAAAAAATCAGCCTGTGACAATTACCATGAGAGATTCCTGTCTGCCACTAGCAGGAACACTTGTGGAAGGGGAAGACTGCTGTGTTAAGGATGGTTCTTGGATCAACCTCTTGCCTTTTGCAAGCAGATGCACTGTACTAGACAGAGGAAGATCTTCCGTAATAGCTACTTTCTCTGTTTTCTCCAGCTTGGAAAAGGAAGGGAAGGTGACACTTACTCACACCTTTGCTCCTTTCTAGAAAACAGACTCACAGGAACAGTTTAAAACATTTTCCTTCACAGACATCAGACCTGCAGTCAAAGCCAAACCATAGCAAGCATCTGCGACACCAGTGCTGTAAGGTCACCGCTGTCACACTGAAGTGGGGTAAGGTGGGCTTACAGCTTCATTCATCAGTGGGCAGACTACAACATATATCACTGCCTCAAATGCAAACACAACCCATTCTTTAACCTTAAGTTTGGCAGTAATAAGTACTTGGGAGTTTTTCTACTCAGCTGAGATTGGTATCAGCACTGCTTATGGAGTATAATACACTGTCTGCTGGAAGACCAACCCTCTTGACTAATCTGCAGTACCTAGGCATCATGAAATACAAATTCTGAAATGTGTGTTTTGTTTGTGCATGTTTGAATTGCTAATTGTAACTCAATGCAGTTCTGTGTGGTAAATGTATTTTCTTTTAAGGTAATCAACATCCACCCTAAGGAAAGAATGATGGATGCATTTGGAATACAACAATTTAGGCTTAGGCCTCAAAATATGCTTAGGGACAGCATCTAAGTATTTTCTGTACGCTGAGTTTGAATCTGATACTTCCCTTGAATTGTAAGTGCTCATTTACAGGCCCACAAAGCGGAAAGGAAGTTCTAGCAGGACTTGGGAGGTTACAATTGTCATGGAAACAAACTACTTGGGATCGATTTCTTTCCAGAGTTTTGGAGGCAACACAGTGGGGCAGCAGAAAGTTCAAAATATGCTCATCAAAGGGGAAAAAGCAGGGAGGGAGGGTGTTTTTACTTAGCTTCTGGTGAATGGATTCACTTCTGAAGACTCCAAGGAACACACACACAACTTAACAGGACCCACCTTCTGTCACAGCTCCATTGCTTTCCAGATCTATGTACAGCCTTTTGGCATGGCTCAACAGACTTAATTCAAACATTTCTTTCTCTTTTTAATAGTGCTGATTTTTAAAAAAAGTGATATTTAGCTGTTGTAAAATATGGTATTTTACTGCCTATGCTGCACAGAAAGAAGTGCACTAATGCTTTTAGTCTCACTCTTCAGAGACTTTTAAAATGTTTTGATCCTTTGCCACAAACTTAAATTCTAGGATTGAGGTGCAGGTCTTAGCTCTCTAGCAAGCCCAAACACAGCTATGGACTATGAGGTCCATATGCTGTTTTAAGTCTGTTGGGTTTGTGTGCCATGGTCAGCCAGCATGGCCGACTTTACTGATGTAACTAGCAGTATTCTGCTTCTGAGTACAGCACACTCTTCAGAGACCCTTAAACTATTCCATATGAGGAGGTGAGTGGCAGAAAATTTTGTGTAAACTTTCAAAAGGAACTACTTGCCAAAATGCAGTTTATGAAATAAGAGCTAAAAGCCAGCCTTTTCAAAAGGCACTGGAGTTGTGTTAAGTCAAAGCAGCAAGTTGCTAGCTGTGATCTGGAAAGCGCAGAGAGAACATGCACACCCTATAAAGTCTAGAGCATGGCTGATTTCAGGAAAAAAAGGGCACTTTGTTGTTACCATGGTCTTTTGTAAAAAATCACCCACAAGTAGAGCATTATTTGGAACCTGACTCCCCTAATCCTAAAGAAGTTAATAGAATATCTCTTGCCCTCATGCAAAAATTCTGCTCTTAGTATATGTACCAAGAAATCCTATTGAAATTTCCAGTCCAACCACCTAACTCTTAAGCACAACATGAATTCCACAGGGCTAATGAAATCCATCAGATGAAGGCTAGAGATGGCTCCGAGTCAAAAGCAAATGCTACTTTTTAGCCAGATTTGCCCTATAGTACATTGTAATTGTAAAGACTGATTGGTTTGATGACCTCACAGAAAAGGTGCTACCCATAACTAATGGGAGCTGTGCTCCCCATTATGAATTTATATGGCAGCAGTGGCACTAATACTAAGTTTAGTTTTCAGTGTCAGAAACTCTGATTTTGACTCTGCCAGGAACTGGCAGGACTCTGCCAGGAAGCAGCATAACTTTGCCAGGAAGCAAGGGCTGAGCTTCTCATGCAGTGAAAAACCAATGATATCTCTAAACCATATCTTTAACCAAATAATCTTCAGATCTAAGAGACACACACAGAATAAATCAAGCAACCACATCTGCTTATCTAAGCAACAGTGTCCAAGGCTTCTAAATTTATTCCTTGAAAATGGTATCCTGAAAATATAAAGAAATACAAATAAGAACTGTTTTAAGAAACTGTGAAAAAGGGCAACAGACTGGAAATCAAGGAAGCACGACTTTGCTCTGGTGATTTCACAGACTGCCTAGATGGAGCTCCCAGCTCGCTTCTCCTGTTATATCAAAAGCAAGACCAAAAAAAAGACCCCAAACCCACCAAACCCAATTTACCTTTAAATAATAGCTTATATTCTGATTAAGATGTAAATTAACTGCATCTTTAGCATTTTGAGGCAAGCACTCAAAGCAGTGTGTCAGCCTCTGAGAAGGCTGCAGAACCTCCGACTACTATGGAATATTGGAATATTTTGTCTAAGAGTGTGACATCTATGGGAGTGTGTTCTTCTGTTTAGTACATGCTGCTGTTGTTGCTGCTGTATTCAAGAGGTGTGTTTGAGAGTAAGGGATTTGACAGACATGATAAAATAATTTAGAACTCTGGTGCTACTTACATTATTGATCATAAGATGCATAATTGTTTTCGGTATCAAGTCTCGGATACATTTGTTGATAATTGACATGTAGGAGTCCACAAGATTTCGAATTGTCTCCACCTGTCTCTCCAGCTGGGGGTCCATTGAAAAATTGTCCGCTTGGCCATTCTCATCATTTTCAGTCTACACAGAAGAAAAAAAAGAAAAGTCAAGTCTTTCAAACTGCAGTAAACTGGAATTATACTGGGGGGAAAATGGACTTAAACTGTAGTAATCCAGCAATATAAATCATACAAAGAATGTCTGGAGGTTAAAATACGAAGTACTGGCCTGTTTAACATTAGTGTTTAGATCATGAAATTTGGACCTTAAAGGTTAATGCAATACAAGATGCAAGACGTTTTTCACAAGTTACATTATATATTTCCACACAAATTTGTAATTTTATATTAAAGAAAGTCTTCAGACAGAGAATGAAAATAAAACCCCAAGAAATGTCTCACATCACTTACTATATTGCTTATTATCAAATCTTTTACATTCAGATTCAAACAGCTTGAATCATGCAATAAAGCACCACTGCAAGTCTGGATTTCAAATTTTACCCTCCTATGGGTAAAAACCATCCTTGTTACTTAAGGCTGATTCAGTTGTGACAAATTCCACAGTTCAGCCTCAAATTTGTTAGATGTGAATAGCACCTATGTAAACAAAGGATTTATGAAGGGTAACTACAAAAGCATCATTGGTTCCAGTGCTGAAGGCTCAGCATAACATTGGCTGGATTATATATTAGAGATCTCTTTTTCGTAGGACAGAAAAAATAATTCTTTGTATATAAACAGTTGGCCTAATTAAAGAAAATACCAGGAACTAACTGAAATCTAAAAGGTATGTACCTTGCTTTCGTCTGGCCTTTATAAATATAAGAAAACCTGAAAAAAGAATAGTAGCCTTTTGGTAAAAATCAAACTGATCTCTGAGGCTCAAAGATGCCAAAATAATGGAATTTCAACCTGGAAAGTACAAAGAACAATGTTCTTCCCCAAAATATTGACATATAAAACTTCTCCCTGAAAACAACCACCAAAGCTATATTAGCATTAACAGTAAAATATACACCTGTCCTGTTGATACCTAGAAGCATAACATGAAGAAACAGAAAATACTTGAAAAAGTGAATAAACTGATAACAAGAACTAGTTATATACCAGCAAGACCCCTGTCAGCACAACTCCATTTACACTATAGCGTTTAGCTAAAATTTGGACATCACTAGTGCTTTACAGATTCCCTGAGCAGTTGAAATTAGTAGCTAACCCATTAGTGAAAGACTGTAAGAGTCAGATATGCAAATATGTCACCAAAGAGGCTCCTTCTTGCATGAAATGCATTCTGGCTAGGCAAAAAAGAGAAGAGATTCCTAATTTCATCTCATAACACAGGGCGTGTTTCTGCCCATGCAGCATTGGCAGGTACACCACTTTGCATTTACTCCTTGTAAACTATGCCATGGTCAGTCCAGTCTAAATGAAACGGCAATGGTTGTAATTTGTTAAGTTACAGTTTTGTTAAGAAATAAGATCCAATGTACCATTTAGAAACAAAAGTAAATATATTTAACAAAGTTTCAAAAGTTCAGATTGTTTTTTATTACAGAAAAATTACTGGAAAACCATCTACTCGTTAAAAATATTTAGCAACTGTTGGAACTGTGGAGGACACTCAGAGAACTCTGGATGAAAAAACAGTGTTTTCAATTCTGTAACACCAGTAGACACACTACCTTATAAGCCTTACTCATTTCATTAATAAACTGCATATGCCAAAAAGTCTTAGCATGCAGATGGACTATTTTCCTTAGCCTCCATGTCTGAAAAGAAACTAACTGTAATTTTCCCTGTGAAATATCAAATAAATGGAAAATCATACATCTGTCATAGATCCACAGATTTTAGCCAAGTACTGCACACTGAAAATGCCCCTTCCCAGTTCCCCTGCATTTGACTTCTATTCGCTTTCTTTTCTTGTTCTTTGTCTATATAAAGTACAGTGTGTCCATGTACTTTTTTTTTTCCTTCACTGTTTAAATTACAGATTGCAATAAGATTCTTAGCTGGCTAAGCAGCAAAGTGACAGATGTTTATCATTATCCTCATCAAGAGAATGTAAAGTAAAAATAGTAATTTGTCTGATCTTTAAGGCAAGGGGTAATAGTGTCTTGTTTGAAACTGTAGTAGAGCTGACTTCATACTGTTGATTTATTTTCTCTGAAATCAAAAAAGATCAATCTTTCATGAGTTTACAGTAATTTATTATGAAAGCTTCTGGCCATAGTATTCTTAATGATTTGATGTCTCAACTGAATGATTTTCATGCCAGAAACCATCTTGTTTGTATCGCACTATGCACATGGAAATCTGCTTCTAGCAGATTTCCATGCTCTGCAGTATACCTACAAGTGTTATCAGGCTTTCTTTGTAAGCTGTCTCTGCACTGTGCCAACAGCAGCATCTGAGAGTAAGGTTGCCTGGTAAAGCTGGGCATCATAACAAGACAGTAGTGATGTAGACACCCCATTCCATCGCCATGCCATTCTTTCAAAACAACTGGGTTTCACACTGAGCATCACGGTGACTCTAGCTTCAGGGCAGGCCATCACTCAGTCCAAGTCCCTGCCACTCTGCATTCTAAAAAGGCTCTTGCAAATCTGTGGCAATGAATAAACCCAAACCAGAATACATAAGAAAACCCTCACATTTCTCTGGCTGCTGTTGAACAGAATGTTTGTGCTGAACAGAAAAGGAGAACGAAGGAGGTGAAACGGGTTTCTGTGCCTCCTTTCCCAACAGCCAAAGCAGCTACTGTCCCCTTTCGGTGCTTCCCATCCTTAAGCCAGAACTTGCTAGTTCCAATAGCAAGTGTTAAGTAACAGCATATGAATCTGGGCTAAGTTTCTGTTCAGCTGACTCTTGCTTAAAACTGCTATTAATTGTTGACAAGGATGGAATAATATTACTTCTAACAAATACAACTGCAGCTACTTTAGGAACTTTTGCAAGTCTCCAGAAAAGAAACTATGGAAGAATCTAGAGTGTTAAAAACCAGGTAAAGAAAATTAGATTCATTTTGGAAAATTCAAATTCAGAGTATCTGATGAAAATACACCAAATATAGAGTAGCAATAGGTGAAAAAAACCACAGATGAAGGGAAGGTAACATGGAAACCAGGATGGTGTTTCCATTTATATACACATACCCATTGCTACAGGGATAGGTCCTTCTCTTCTACTTTCTCTGCACTTTAGGAGAATGAGACTAATACCCCTTCCTTGTACTCTGTCTTTCATAAGTTGTTTTGTGATCCTTGCATGGAAAAATGCTAGTAAAACCCAAGGTGTGTATCATTACTACTCTTCTACCTCTCCTGAGTTTAGATACATTCTGTACTAAGAAGGTATTAAGGATTAAAGTGTCATACAAGAGAAGACTAAAAACTGTATGTGAAATCTATACCACTTAAGTTTGTGGGAATTTTACTGCTGGCTGCAGTAGGAATACCCTACACATGCATTTCTACCAGAAAAGTTATTGGTCTTATGAAGACTATAAACTCTCTGCTGCAAGAGGAATGATTTAGTGTGGTACAAAGGGATGCAGGCATGAGGAATTGTGTGCAATCAAAAAAACAAAACAAAACCCACCAAAAAACAGCAACAACAAAACCAACAACCAAAAAAGGAAAATCTTCCTGATCATGGGAACATGCATTTTGAAGAAAGACCCCCAAAAAATTCAGGAAAAGTGATTCCTGTTGAAATTCACAGGAAAACTGGGTAATGGACTGAAAACAGTCCTGAGCTGGCCACACAGAGAGCACAATACTTCTAATTTCCATGATTTCATTACATTCAGGGCAGCTGCCAGCGTATTTAAGAACGTCTTGTATAACATTCCTGATGTCAGTTCCAAGAAGGAGCATTTGCCTAGCATTTTCATTAGAGCAGTGTATCAACCAATTTTCTGTAATCAAAAAGGCATTCTATTGAAAATGACTGAGAGGAAGCCGACTGGAAGGTGACGGAAAAAAGGGTAAAAGTCAAAGCAGTGGTAAAGCAATGCTCTGTATACTAAGAAACATGCTCATGGCTGCAGCAAGAAACCAGTCATTTAGAAGCTACTTTCCTATCTTTAAATTACAGATGCAAGTTCACAACAACCACCACCACCTGAAAAGTAATTATTCTCTCCAGAATGTATTTATATTTTAAGTCACAGATGCTGAATATATAATGTTTTATCTATTCCTGTCCCAAGAAAGGTTTTTCTTTAATGTACCAACACAGCACATTGCAATTGTCCTACCCCTCTGCTCTGATTTTTCCTAAATCTTTAAAACTGATTCTTGATATTCTCTCTTCATTGCGGTTTGATGCTGTCTATATAATTTAGCTAAGACACTCTCAGCTGTACATAGCATGCCTTTTGCCAGAGGACTGCTGAAACCACATGATGGCTTCACACAGTGAGGTTTTCTTACTAGAAGGAACTACAAGTAAACGAAAATACATTACTTTTGTGTATTTACAACAAAGCAAGCAGCAGAAAAAGAACATTTCCTGGGTAGCTTGGAAGCGGTCCTCTTCCCTCACAGAGCGTGTCTTTGCCACTCTCTTCCATGCTTTCAGCATCTCCTGACTTTATACTGCTGTGGCCTTTACTGAGCCTCCCACAGGCTGCCCCTTTCAGCTATTATGCTTTCATTAGCAGCCTTGAACCCCTCCAAGCAGAGGTTATGATCTAGCCTTCCCTTATACACATGGTCTGTCTCACTTTATACCACATAGAGAAAAGATATAGCCTAGCTAAATTTGATTCAAAAGTACTTAACTCTCTGGATTAGCTTAAACAATCGTCTATTCAGATTCTTCTTTGTGGTTACAGACACTGTATAGTACAGACCATTAGCTAAAATCTTCTACTGAAGCCACATAGTGCTCCCCAGATATTTACATAGCTTTAACAATACCAAACATCCAGAATCTGTGTTAGGCTCTCTCCCTGTCTTCTTCAATCAAGAAGCTGACTTGGAACTAAGAGACTGAAAGGAATGATGTGAAAACTCCAACACATTTGGAGTTCCTGTTGTCTTACAGTTCTTAACAGGTTGATAACTGATCATG